TTTAATTATTCATCAAATAAAGAAAAAAAAGTACAATATGAACAAAGTAAAGATGGTGTATCTGATTTCAGTTGTAGTTCCCAAACATCAGTAAGTAGTCAAGAGATAAATCTATTATTTAAATTATCATTCCTATATATATATCTTTAGCATACAGATCCTCTATGTTCTTTTATTGAAAAATATCGTTATGAATATTTAATATGTCAATATCATCTTCTTCAATATCATTTATCTCGTCATCAATCAATTGAATCAATAAATACATTAATTAATTTACAATATCATATATATCCAATAATATTTTCTCTTCCATGTACAATTATTCTTATTGAATATTTTTATTGTCAAATGAATTATAAACAATGTTTAATATTAATTAATAAATTAATAACATTTTGGTGGTCATATTTAACACCACGTGAAAAACTTGAATTAGGAAAATTAAAAAGTATATCATTAATTATTGAATTAAAACAAAGTTCATTAGAATCAGCTATTTTATCCGGGTATTTTGCTAAACGTATATTAACTGGTTATCATGAAAATATATTTCTTATTGAAACATGTATTCATTTAACATTAGCATTAATTGGTGAAATGCGTTTATCAAATATCGAATTAATTTTACAACATTTAGAATATTTAAGTGAACAAACAATGAATTGTTATGCAAAATTATGGTATTATATATTAATTATTGATGTTGCTATTGAACTTGGTTATGAATTTATGCCAATAACAATTGATTTTCTTGAAAATATAACAAAATATCGTAAAAAACTTCTTACTGGACCCAATCAACAAAGTTTATTAATTGTTTATAGTGATTGTACATTAGCACAAATATATATACGTTTAGGACAATTAAATATGTCAAAAATACATTTTCAACAAGCTTTACATCAAATAAAATATGATCAAATGCATTTATCAAATGTTGATTTTCGTTTTAAACGTGCATTATTAAAATTAATTGAAACACAATTATTATATTGGTATCATACAAAAGAATATCAAGAAAATATAACAAAAGAATATTTTCTATTAAATATGATTGAAAATAATGTTAATGAAAATTTAATACCATGGAATAAAACAAGATATTTAATTTATCAAGCTTATTATGATAGACTTATTAATGATTATAGAAGAATACAAAAATATTCTATCGATGTAAATATATTTATTTTTATCAGAGCAGAGTTTACTAAAAAAAAAAGTTTTAAGCTTAAATTGATTCTTACACATTAGAGATAATTCCAATCAGCTTAAGAAAAGAATACTTCGTCTGTTCATGACAATCTCTTCAATATGTCATTTTATGCCTCGAGACTAATCCGCCTGCCATTTTTTTTCTTCACTTATTAATATTCTAATGATAATTGAATAGTCGTAGATGAGTGTACTCATAAGATTGTATGTTGTAGTTTAGATTAGAATATCAGCCCGATGAATTCTAAAAAAAGTCACAAATAATTAATCCTTATTAAGATTACCTTTTGTGTCTTTACTCATTCATATTCTAATGATTATAGATTATCTTAGTTTAATAGTATTTTTGAATAGGTAAAGTCAATTCTTTCTACTGGAAAATCATTTATAACTAGTAGTTGCTTATTGAATCAATCGATAAGTATAGATTCAATATGCGTAAATTTAACTTAAACATGCACATGTCTAATCAAGTATGATTGTAGTTTAACTCATTAAAAAAGACACATGAATTATTCTGAAAGTGATTATATGAAATAACTTTTTATTTTAGAATGATTTCAATTGGGAATTAAATTTAGAAGAAGCTGAAATAAATGCTGTCAAACTTGATATTCTATGGATAAAACGATTGCGAACTGCTTGGTCACATTCTCTTTCGGAACAAATATCATTACAAATCGATGAAGCTCTATCAATTCAACGTCCACGTACATCAATAATAATGCATAAACCAATAAATCGATATTCTCTTCGACCATCAATTCCTCATATAAAAGTATCATTAAAAATTGAGAAAAATTCTGATGAACAATCAACAAAATCAGTTCACAATTATTCTCATCAGAAATTTGTTGATTCACGTTTATCAGTAACAAAAATTACTTTATTACCACAATTCCAACTCTATATTCTTCCGGTGAGAGTGTGAAAATAGATCTGTTAATTAGTTTACTTTCGTTTTTTTCTTCTTTTTCTTCCATGTATACAATAAAAAAGAAAACAATGTTAATTATATTCAGTTTGCAAGTAATGAAAACATTTTCTTAACTTTCTTTTTTTTTGTTGCTTGATAGTATATCGGTTTCGATTGATCTCAATCATTTTATTGCCGATGGGATAAAAGTGTAAACAACAACTCGTTCACATTCACATACATTACAATAAGAAACAACGCTTTTTTTTCACATACACACACACATAGAACGAATAATCACTGTATACCTAATGAGTCAATCAAATGAACATCAAGAAAAACTATATGTGATAATGACACATATAATTATAAGAATTTTGTTTTAGTGTGAACTTCCCACATATCACCGGGATGAACATCTTTACTGACTAAATTTTAATAAATATAAGACAATATTCATATGACCAAGATAAATAGCGAGATGTATTGGAAGCCAACCATCATCATTCATTCTTAAAAGAT